GAGGATGAGGAGGAGGGACCAGAGGTGGTCCCCCTGGGGAAAGAGTGACAGGGCGGGCGCGGGGAGATCGGTCAACTGGTGGGGTAGATGCTGCAAGGAAGGTGGGAGATTTGCAAGTGATTCATGCATGTCCAGTCATATTCCGCTAATGCCAGGCCCCTCAGTTCCAACCTTTGCCCTATGAGGTAACAAAGGAATTGAGGCAGTTAGTAAGAGAAACTGGTGTTTCCTTGACTAATACGTTTGCATATTTGGAGACGTTGAGTTCAACTCAGGTGTTTACCCCACATGATTGAAAAGCTTTGCTGAAACTGGTCCTAACAAATACACAGTGCAGCGTTTGGTTGACGGATTTTCGTGACAATTGTGCAGTGTATGCGAATAATCCACAAGCAGGCATAACATGCAATCACTTAACAGCAGAAGGGGATTTTGCCACAGTAGACTCACAAGCAGGCTACCCCCAAGAAATTTATGAAGTGATTGCAAAACTGCCTTTAAGAGCAATGAGAAAACTCCCAAGTACAGACAGAGACAGTAATATGTCCTTCACAAAGGTTTTACAAGGTTCTACTGAACCCCTCTCTCAGTTTCTTGATAGGCTGCAGGCTGCTTTAAACAGGCAAATTGAGCATGATGAAGCTAGAGAAATGCTTTTTAAGCAACTGGCATATGAGAACTTAAATCTAGACTGTAAAAGAGCTTTGCAAGCTCTCCCTAAAAGGGAAAGCTGCAGCATTGCTGAGATGGTTCGAGCATGCCAGGGTGTTAAGTCGGTCGAACACCAAACTGCTTCTCTGGCTACAGCTTTAAGCACGCAGCTGAGAGTGCAGGAGGTGGCAAGACCTAAAAGCAGTTGCTATAGATGTGGTGCTGCTGATCATTTTCAAAGGGATCGCCCTAAGAAAACCCCCATACCAGTGTGCCAAAAGTGTCAGCAAGGGAAGCAGGGGTCAAAAAACTCCTCACAGCAGGGAAACTGGAGACGGGGGCGAAGTTGTGCACCCTGGCACAACAAAAAAATTCAGCTCAGGAAAACAGGCTGGCGATCTGGCGCTGGGCTGGATTTATCCAACGGAGACCCAGTAAGTATAACATCTACTGTTAGTGTTAATTCCTACAAGGGTTTGGGGATCGTTGGCCCGAGGGGTACATGCACTGTTAATGGGGAGATCGTCAACCACTAGGATGGGTTTGTTTGTTCTGCCTGGAGTGATAGACTCAGACTCACACAGTGAGATTCAAATAATGGCATGGACCCCAGTACCCCCTGTTACATCCCTAAAGGACAAAAGATTGCCCAATTGATCCCTTTTTTCAGCGTGTCTCCTGCTGGGGAGGGGGAGAGGGGCTCGGGGGCTTTTGGAAACACAGGCGAGCCACAAATCTATTGGGCAAGGGCCATTACAACAATGCAGCCTAAGATAATGTGCCAAATAGATGGGCGTAGATTCACAGGCTTGGTGGACACAGGGGCCGATGTTACCATCATTAAGGACACAGAATGGCCTCCTGACTGGCCTACTGTTTACCTGGCTTCCACCATTCAGGGGGTGGGGGGTATACAAAGGCCCAGGCAGAGTGCTCAAATACGCATAATGCTGGGGCCAGAGGGACAAGTGGCCAAGATAGCTCCTTTTGTTGCTCCTATACCATGCGCGTTGTAGGGGAGAGATATCTTGGGACTGTTTAGCACAGTCATGCAAATTGCTCTTGCAGATGACCAGGTTTTTCAGTAGGGGCCATTGAACAACCGTTCCAAGGACAGATTAAGCTGGTCTGGAAAAGTGATGAGCCTATATGGATTGATCAATGGCCCATAAAAAAGGGATGGCTTGCTCATTTAAGAGAACTTGTAAAAGAGCAGCTTGAAGCAGAACATATTGTGCCAACTACGAGTCTCTGGAATACATTCGTGTTTTGTATCCCCAAGAAAAGTGGCAAGTGGAGAATGTTGCATGACTTAAGGGCAGTTAACTCAGTAATAGAACCCACGGGGGCATTGCAACCAGGACTCCCTTCACCTGGTATGCTTCCAGCAGGATGACCATTAATGGTAATTGATTTGAAGGACTGCTTCTTTACCATCTTTCTGCACCCTGAGGATGCTCCACGGTTTGCTTTTTCTATACCCTCTCTGAACAACGCACAGCCCGTGCAGAGGTAACACTGGGTTGTTCTTCCTCAGGGGACGTGAAACAGTCCGACCATATGTCAGAATGCTGTGGCAAAAGCTATTCACCCCATCAGAAAGCTTTATCCCTCAGCAATCATTTACCATTGCATAGATGACATTTTAATCGCCACGGCCAAAGAGACTGAATTGCAATCGGTTGTTACTGCTCTAACCGATGCTGTCCAAGATGCAGGATTGCAGGTCGCTCCAGAAAAAAATCCAGCGATTGCAGCCCTGGACTTACCTTGGATGGAGAATCACACAGCAGGAGATCTCGCCCCAGTCACTTCAGCTTAAGGTAAAAGATACCTTAACATTAAACGAATTGCAAAAACTTCTAGGAGCCATCAAGTGGTCAAGGCATATCTTAGGCTTAACCACAGAGGAGCTACACCCCCTGTTTGAACTGTTAAAGGGTAACTCAGACTTGATACCTAGCAGCTCTCTGACTGCAGAGGCAAAGCAGGTGTTAGAGACAGGCTCCAAGGCAATCGAGAGCAGGCAAGGCAGAAGGAGAGATCCTGAACTGCAAATCTGCCTTACTCTTGTTCCTAGCAGGTTCCAGCTATTTGCAGTCTTGTTTCAGTGGGATCAAACTGAAAAAGATCCACTAAGGGTCCTAGAGTGGCTGTTTCTGCCCCATTCACCCCCTAAAACTGTGTGGACCACCAACAAAATGTTTGCCAAGCTTGTCGTTAAAGGCAGAGGACGTCTACAGGAGCTGGACGGACAGGACCCTGCGACCATCTACATCCCGGTGACTAAGGACAGACTGGACTGGCTGCTGGCCAAAGATGCAGAATTTCAGGCTTTCTTGGCAAGCTACGATAGTGACATTTCTATACATTACGCTAAACGCAGGCTTTGGGCAGAAATGGGTAACTTACCCTTAAAAACCACAACCAGAAGCAAACACTAACCAGTAAAAGGCCTTTACTGATGCATCAGGACGGACGAGGAAAGTTGCAGTGACATGGGTAAACCCTGATACAGGATGGTGGGAACAAGAGGTGCAGACCACGAACCAAAGTTCTGTACAGGTTCTGGAACTGGCTGCTATCTGTATTGCCTTGGAAAGGTTCTCAGAGTAACCTGTTAATGTTGTAACAGATTCTTGCTATGCAGCAGGTTTAGTATCCTGTCTCAAAGGTTCATTTCTTTGAGATGTTGCAAACCCTCACTTGTTGGTTGAAATGCGTACTGTTTGGTTTCTTGTTAACCACAGGAGGTTTCATTTTTTACACCATGCACATAAGATCGCACACAGAAATGCCAGGGCCCATAGCAGAGGGGAACCAGAGGACGGATGGAACAGCTGTATTTAACACAGTGCCCAAAGTCTTAGAGCAAGTGAAATTGTCTCATTCATTTTTTCATCAGAATGCATGCTCAGTGAAGAGACAATTTCAAATCACACTCAATAAGGCTCAAGACGTAGTTATGTCATGCCCAGATTGCCAACAAATAACTCCAATGCCATCTCAAGAAGGAGTTAACCCCAGAGGATTAGTGGCAAATGAGATTTGGCAAACAGATATAACACCTATACCTGAATTCGGCCCATTGAAATATGTACATGTTACAGTTGACATACACTCAAAATACATCACTGCCACTGCCATGGCCAGTCTTCGCGAAAGAAGATTTGGGAAAGGTCTTTTACCCTTCAAGCGTGCGCAGTGGATTTTTTAGGTGAGACTCTGGGTCCCTTTCCCCACCCACGACGTGGGGGAGCCCATTTCTAGTTCCATCTCCTTCTGAAGAACCATTCCGACGTCTTGAAGGGCGGGGAAAGGGAACTCCAGCGACAGGGTTTTTCAGGCCCCGAGCCTGGAGGGGAGAGGTGCTCTCCCCTCCCCCCAGCACCCACGTGGCTCCATGGCAGGCACAGAGACAGCACACCGGCGTGGAGAGGAGGCAAGAGAGAGTTTATTGTTGGGAAGGGGTTTATAAGGCTTTTAGGAGGGTCAAAGGGGACCAATCACAAGTTCAGGGTCACACAGAAAAAAACCATCAGGTAAGGGGTCAACACCCAATAGGAAGGGGTTTACCAAGGACCAATGGGACACCTCAGGACACCTTCCCAGGACACCTTGTGTGGGAGACAATAGCTTCACAGGGGGTGTCTGGGAAAGGGGGACAGTGACACTGCAGAAAATACAAAAAGCCATTTTGAAACATGTTTAAACCAATTTCTCATCAGATTCACCGCTACATGAGACACAGTGTGCACTGAACTGAGCCCACCCTTTAATCCTGAGGTTCATCTGCTGGGGCCGAGCGAGCTTGGACGATGGCAGTGAGGTCCTCAGGACGTAGGTTTGTTTAGAGTGACCTTCTCTTAGATGGATGGCCTTACAGGGCTGACGAGCTCCATCTGCCCGGGGAAGTCCCCTGACTGGGAATCGAACCCGGACCGTGTAGGTGAGAGTGCCGCATCCTAACCACTAGACCACCAGGGGGCCCCACTGCCACTGCATGCACTGGGGAAAAGGCAAAGGACGTGATAAGGCACTGGTTCAGCTGTTTTGCAATGCTGGGTACCCCAAAACAGATTAAAAGCGACAGTGGACCAGTTTACATATCAGAAAAGGTAAAAACCTTCCTGTCAAATTGGGGAATTTCTCACTCTACAGGCATCCCACATTCACCTACAGGACAGGCCATAGTAGAAAGGGCACATCACACCTTAAAAGACATGTTGCTTAAACAAAGGAATGGGGAATCCATCTGCAGCCCACAAGAGCGTCTGTGGAAAGCCACTTGTGTCATAAATTTTTTAAATTGTGACAGTGCTGAAAAAAGCAGGCACAAAAGGCAACACAGACCTCAGGCATTCTCCTCTCCCAGACCACCAGTCATGATGAGGGATCTAATTTCAGGACAGTGGGTAGGACTGGTAGATCTTGTGACATGGGGGAGGGGTTATGCATGTGTATCTACAGGAAAAGAGCTGAAATGGGTTCCTTCCAGGTATGTTAGACCTTACCTAGGTACATCCACACAGCAGCAAGAACCAGAGTAATGCAGAGTTTAAAAACACAGTTATGTTTACCATTTGGTAATGATGTTTACATTTCAGGTTTACAATTGAAGATGACCAGTGTGGCAAAATGCAGAGTTTATACAAAAACCCATGAGTGTGTATGTGAAGAGTGAAGTGGCGGCCACCCATGTGAGTGTCTGCGAGTGAATAAAAGAGTTATGTGAATGTATAAAGCACCTTTAACACCAAACACCTTATAAGAATATCACTACCTCAGCCACATGGTCACATTAGGAGAATTTAGTTTACTGCATTTAACTTGCTTTTGAAATAAATTTGAATTTTCCTATTTATATAAACCCTGAGAAAAATAAAGGTTACAATTTATAGGTACTACACAGTTGGGCCAAGGCCCTTAGATTAATAAAGCTGTTTTTCCAGGTTACACCATGCCCCTTAGGGAAAAAAAGGTTTAAGGTAATATGAATGGGTTTAAAAGGTTAAAGAAAACATTTTCTATAGATACATAAGCTGTTAAGGAACCAGAGTGAGAGGTGTGCTGGATCGCTGCAATGCTATGGTAATTGTATAAGGCAGTGTTCTGTTATTTGCAGTGTCGTTATTGCACTGTTTTCATGACTCGCCTTAAATAATTGGATGGGAGGAGATGTAGGGATGTGTCCAGAGAATGCGGAGGGAAGCATTCTGGGAGTTGAAGTCTCTGGACAGCCTACTGGGGCACATGAGCAATGTATGCTGTGCTGTCATTGGTCAGGCGGTCACATGTCCTCCAGAGGGGTTATAAGGAGGTACTTTTCTTTGAAATAAACAGATTTGGCTACTCGCCAGCTACCTGCTGGGTCGTGTCTCTTTGTATTACATTAATATATCACAGACCTCACCTTTCTTTCCATAATGCTCTGATTTCAGGTGTCGCAATTGACAGTGGCATGGAGCTCCATAGTGCAACCATGTGCTGTGTGAGAAGACAGTAGAAACAAGATTTCTTCACGTCCCTTCCTTTTTGCCCCCCCATCCAAAATGTATCTTTTGAAGGGGAAAGCACTGCCATGTGCTGAAGTCCTACTAAAAGCTGGAAACTCTCCTTTGTTCCTTCTGTCTTGTGCACCAGTGGTACTGCTGCAATCCAAAGTAAGATTCCAACACCTGTGAATACTCTTCTTCCCACTTTTTATTTCTTTCTCATTTTCTTATTTCTTTATTTCCTCTTGCAGGAGGACTTGCAGGCTCTACCTGGACTGTAATCAGGTACCACATGTTAGTAAAGTGACTCGTTAGAAGTGTCAGAGCTGAAATTGTAATTCTATTCATTGTGCCTCTCCAAAGAGAAGGTAATTTGAGGAGAGATGGAAGCTGTGGACAATTCATTAGATGCACATCTCAAAGGAAAGTGTACCAGACATGAGAATCTGATATGCTTCTGAATACCTGGATTTGATGTTATGTTACTGTGGAAAGAATATCTTTCACAGTTTTGTATTTTGGAAAATTTGTCTTTGACTGTGGGAAATTGCCAGCTGGTCTGGGTCATGGTGGATCTGAGGCTCATGTAAATGAGTTGGCATGGATGTATTAGGAAATAAAAACCAATATCCACGAAAGCATGCCATGAAATTTGGAATAAATCTTGTAACTGAAAATTAATTGGTGTTATACTAAGAAACGCAAAACAAGATGGTGTCAGTTCAGATAGTTTCCCTTCTCAAGTACCAAGGACAAATTAAGTTTCTCAACAGTATTACGCAATGAAATATAGTTACATCTGACATTGAGAAAAGACTGTCCACTGTGGAAGTTCTAAATGCAGCTTTCTCTTCAAGGCTGTTCTACCACTTCTTGCAGTAAGAAACACAGAGTTCCACAAAAACTCTGAGATGTTCTTACCACCCTCGTACATCACAGCAGCTCTCTAATTCATGAGAGGGTTGATGCACATCTTTACAGAACACCTATGCCTCCTGACAGACCAAGCCAAACTCGTCATCTCCAGGTGGCAAGGAAATCTGGCACTCTGAAACACACTCAGCTCCAACACCATCCCAACAGAAATGTAAAATGGAACAAAACCAGACATACATATTGCTGCAGATTAATAGATGTGGAATCAATCAACAACTCTCTTTGAGGTTAACTGGTTAGGATGTGAGAAAGTCCAGTTGTTCTTGTGAAAATGAGAAGTTTTTCCGATTTTTCTTCTTCTAGCCCCAACAAAGAGAGTAATTAGCTTCTTATCTCTTTACTACCACCTTTTACCTACTAAAAAGTAATTGAAAGTCTCTGTTCAGTCTCTTCTTTTCTGGGATAACAAGTTCTTTCCTCACATACTATGTATTACAGATGACCCCTCTGTCTTGCTCTTGCTCTTTTCTCTGCGCTGGCATTTTTGCAGTGCCCCTGAGTAGTTCCTGCATTACAGCTTCACAATTAGGCACAAGACTTGAGTCAAGACCCTACCATCTCTGAGGTGACCAGAGCAAAATCATTCTCTTTCAAGTTGCATGCCTATTTGCACTGCTCCAAATCAGCTCTGCCTTTTTGCTAGAGCATCCTGCATATCCAATAGTCTGTCCTTTGCAATCCCATCTTCCTGCTTCTCAGTGTCTTAATCCATGTCCCTATTTTTAGGCTACTGAATTCTCCTGCCCTGTGTGTCTTTAGCGAATGCCACCTGAGGGGCTGCAGACACTTTCCCTAATCCACGCAGGCAAGACTGACTAAATCCTGTCAGTCCACCCTCCACCTATCAGACTTTGTCTGGGACATGTCAGTTAAATCTTTCTGTATTTAATAAATCTATTAATTAGAATCAACCATTGTTTGTGCTTCCTGATGACCTCACCTACACTATGTGTTAACTTGCTTTGCTGGAAATAGCATCAGAAGACTTCACTCATGCTACTCACTGATATCCACCACTTTCTCCTTCTTTTTCAAGCAGGTCACCCAGGCAAAGAAACGCCATCACTTTGTTCTGGCATGACTTGTTCCTGATAAATGCAAGTTGACTGCTTTTAACCCTTCCATTAGTCTTCATTAAGGACTTGTGTAAGAAATCAGTGAATGTAAGTATCATTCTGGGCGTTGTAATTCTGTTGTGTCTCTACCTCCTTCCTCTCCAAACAAGCACCATTTCAGTGCTATGGGCTTGTAGCCAGACCTCAGGAGATTTCAGAGATAATGGGTTCAGAAAGGAACACTTAAACTTTTTTTCTTCTAGCCCTGTTTCAAAAACAAATTTCCTTTGAAATTACCACATTCAGAAGTAGTCTATTTCAATGAAATAGCATTTTCAAGGAGAAATATGTTCTGTCACACACTTTTTAATTAGCTCTATCCCTAAATCATGTGAGGAATAATGCAGTATTTTTCTTTCTGTTTTTGGTTGGTTGGTTGGTTGGATGGTTGGTTTTTTTGTTTTGGTTTTGGGTTTTTTTGGTAAAACTTAGGTGAAGAAGATTGCTTGTATTTCCCCTATTCATGCAATCTGGTTTGTTGATGAAGTGCTATTCATTGTGAAAGAGTTTGGTCTCAATAGATCTTAAAATACTTAACACAGGAACCTTAACTGATCTTGGGTGGAACTAAACTTGGATGATTTCAACATTGTCTTTGCTGAGAGCAGTTGGACTAGAAAATGTTTGAACTTGCCACAAATCAAGAGAATCAAGAGCTTTTCAATAATTGGTGATAAAATGCGAATGCAAAAAGTCTCAGCTGTCTTGTCTCCTTCCAAGGGCTGGGTGAAAGATGTTTAATGTAAAAGTTTCTTGTTAAATGGTAGCCTTTTGATCAACACATCTGGCTGGTGTTTGCCATCTAAGCTCTGTGCTGATGATCTCTCGGTGACTAATCAGATCTTCAGTTAAGTGTTGTGTTTCCCTGCTCACAGATCACAGACAAGGGCTGGATTGGTCCCTGGCAGTTTTTACACTACCAGAGCACTGGATTGTTGGTGGAGAGTGTACGGGTGAAGACCTGCTATGAAGTACAGATATCTTTTGCATGTAGAAAGAGAGAAACGGAGAGGCAGAAGAAGAGCCAGAGGTGATGGAAAAAGGGGAACCGCACCCAAAGGGGGGATGTCGTGCCATGAACAAAGCGATTCACCTTCTCCTCAGCTTGTGGACTGGCTTGAGTCATTGAAGTTTCAAGAAGGCTTATGAAGGAGACCAAAGATGAGATGAACCATCCTAGTGCCCAGGGATGAGCATCTGGATAAAGTTCAGTCTACATCTGAAAGAAGAGCCCAGAGAGCTGATGGAGGGGAGACCAAAGGACTTGACTGCTCTGCAGGTTTCCATGGATTGCCCCTTGACTGCGTATGCTCAGAAGGGAATATGCTTTAGTCCCCTGACTTAAAGTATCTCCTGTTAGAGATTCCCCAAAGCATCCTTGCTCGCCAGACAACCTCCTCCCAACAGCTGAGGTAGTGCAGCAGACACTCCATAGGCTGCAAGTCATAAGCAAGGTCCGCGCTGGCACTGCCTCTGCCAAGCTACAAAGAGTGAACTCAGTCTCAGTGTGCACATTCATAGCAAAGGCAGGGAAAGTCCACCCTTCTGGCCCAGTTCCCAGCAGAGGAAGCCTTCACACAGTTTTCCAGTGCATGTGAGTTTGTCTGTCTTTCTCTACCAACTTGTTGTCCTGTCACCCAGTGTTTCCCATCCTTTTGACTCATTGCAAAGACCATCTTCATTAACACCATTTCATTGAGACACGAAAGCTTCTAGCTGGGGGATGAATGACATTGCTGGCTGACTGCTGCCAGTGTGGAAGGAATCCTTTACCACGTTGAAGCTTCTCTGCACAGCTTTCTAAGACAAGGTCCCTGGTCACATCTTTTCAGATATTTTTCAGTAGAACCGTAAATTAGATCTGCATTAGGTGAACTGCTGCATGACTTCAGTCCATCTCTTCCTGTACAGAAGGTTCCTCACTCTGTAGATTTTCCCCATGTGTAAGTGTTTTTGCAAGGACTTTTGTCTCAACGTCTGTCGACCCAGCAGAACAGTCTACATAAAAAAAAAACCAAAACAAAACAAAACTCACAAAAACATCTCCTCATGAGATTAGGCCTAACAGGTCCACAGGACCTAAACACCCTGATAATCACTTGGTCAGGCACTGTGGTTATATGCGAAAAGACCAGGATGACAAGATATATCATACTGACATCCTACAACTCTCAACATTCCTACTACATGGACTTCTAAAAAAACTAGAATGTATTCCACATATTGAAATAAAATATTTACATTCCCCTTCCTTATTGGAGACTATTTGCTGGACCAGCCTTTTGCCAGACACTTGACTTCACTTTACTGCTAACTGTGACTTAAGTACAATTTATGCTTCAAGTCAAGAGCTTGATCGCATTTAGTTTACTAGTGACAGAATCAATTCATTCTGGGTAGGAAAAGTGATGCATTGCTTGTCAGCTCCTTACTGGTCCACAGATTATTAAGAAGCCTAGTGAGTGTATCTCTATGTTTTGGAGACATGGGGTTCTTGCTTAAGTAGCTTCATGATTACTGAAATTCAATATTCTTCTATTCAGAGGAGATTATAGGAATTCTCACATAGAGGCACAGAGTGAACATATCCTGGTTTGCAAAATTCTGGTGCATAAAGCACAAGAGGACACACATATGACTGCTCAAACTGCTGCAGAAGGGATAGTGCTTCAGTATAGCAAAGGAGGATGCTGTGCAGTGGACTGGGTCTCAAAGAAGATATTAACCACCACTACCCTGTGAACTGCCTGTGATCCCCCACTTCCCAGAACTGTCCATCAAACACAGGTGTCCTAAGCAGTATCACATTCTAGCACCGTGTGTCAGAAAGAGCCTTAGCTGGGCAAAAGTCTTGCAGTAGTGGAAACTGTCATATCCCACAGCTTCTACCTTCCTCCTGACCGGAAGTGGCTGCCCTGTAAAGAAGTTGTCTGGTGAAGCCACCACCCCCTTCCAGGGTACCTGAAGTGAAAATGGGCTTGGGCAGAAACCATGTTGGTCAGTGTTACAATCCAATTATTAAAATTATTAGAGAGATGCCTCTGCATGAATTAAGGTGTAAATGAAACCATATGCCAAAGTCAATAGTATGATTTTATTTAACAGTAAATGAGGGGTTCAAGGAAGGAGATAGCTAGGGGAAAGAGGGGGGTGGGGGAAGATAAAGAAAGGTAGAGAAACAGATTAAGTAGAAAAAGATATCACGACTGTAGATTCTGATGACGTCCCATTGGTCATCTTCTTCTGGTCTTCTTGTGGTTACAGATTTTATCTGTCG